CTTCTCCCTTCCTCAAAATAGATCCAACCCCTGTCCACCTTAAATTTTACCACTAACCTTGTATGCATTGTGAGTTTGGCAGCAGTCAGTGAAGTTCGCTTCACGGTATTTCGCTGTACGATGATGATGATGATTGACCACCAGATAGACCAATTAAATTCGTCTATACAAACACATTCTTTTCACATTGATTCTCAGTTTTTCAGTTTGACATTCTTGTATTTTATAGACCTCAAATTCTGCAATGATGCTTTCTACATTATGTACGTTATTGAAGAAGCACCGAAAATGGGCCCGTGATTCACATTATCTTTCACCGGGAAAGAAAACCCCAATAAGGAGACTCGGCCACATGGATCGTATTTGGTTCACTGGATGGGGACCTATTGGGTCGTCCTATGCCATGGTTAGAGACAGTGAGTGATATGGGTGAGGTCGCAAACAGTGGCTCCAGTGCATGCACGCCTGATGAGCTCAACTCATTACGAAACGGGTTGTGTTTCCAAGGAAATTTTATCCAGTCATTTATATATGACACACGAAAACATATACATAACCATTCTTGCTTGTAAAATTCTGCTCTGCGAACTAGATCAAATCGGCCAACTGCCTCAGCTATCTGGATATCCACCCTACCAAACGAGCTACTATGGGAGGCAATTATGTGCACTCATCTAGACACTCATTTCTGCTGAAGACTGGCTCATCTCATGATGTTTTGCTCACTTACGGTACGACGAATGAAGGGTTTAATAGACAGTAAGGGACATCGTGGTTTAAGTGGTTATACGGAGGGGATTAACTGCAAGACGAGATCAATAAGTGAACAGGCATAATTATACATAAATAAATATGCCTGTGCATCACTATACTCAGACCACAAATAGCAGATAAACTGAGCACATCAGAGATTTTTGCCTTACTCCAGTTCACAACGTAAATTTACAATTTAATACTGCTAAGAGATCCATCTCAACAATCCAATATCAGCCCTAACAACCACGCCTTTTCTACTTACGTACTATGAACACATTAAACCATCATGTGTATCTACATACATATGATCGAAGTAAGGACCAAACGTAAGTTTGCTTCCATGGTAGCCAAAGCTCCTAACTGAATCCTGAAATGTCTCATACATTTTGGGGGATGTGCCCACCTAATAAAAAGAACAAACCTCATGCATACACGTTCAATAACTAAATGCAGAATACCTTCGATGTGTGGGGATCCGTTGGGTATCGCGATATCATCACTGGGATTTAGTGGTGCTGTTCCTGGATATGTTTCAGTCTCGAGGGGATTGGTTTCGAGCAACTGCTCCGGTTCAGAACACGTAGGAGTATATANGAGTATATACATTCGGTTCATCCTCATTCAATCGACGTGACGCAGATGGTGTATCAGGTTCATGTGATTTCTGTCCAGTCGAGACCCTTTCCCGTGGTTGTGAATCATTGTGCTGAAAGCGACGGGTTGGGCGAATGAAAACATGCAATAGTGAACCGAATTGGAACGGAAAAAACAAATGGGCTGCAAGAAGTAGCTGATAACAATAAAGCCTGAGAGGATAGATTGTTGTGCCCTTTCGTACATATTCCAACTCTGTGAACTCGACCATTTACCCAACTCACCTATACCTCAAAGAAGTTGAGTCATGCCACACAACCGCACACAGCGAATTAAACCAGGCTGAGTGACCGTACCCCGGCGGGGCAATACGAATATAGATGATCCCTAATCGGTGAACAAGATCTGTTGCGTCATCCAATGGCTATAAAGGAAACCTGTCCAACTAAATAAGAAGCATGAATACCTGGGCTACATTCACAGGTATCGAATCGTGAACGAGCTCCTGGGGAGCCACCAGTGATTATGAATTAATTACTGCTTTGCCATCTGTACTTGTTTCTGCAGAGAATATACATAGACATTTGAAAAAAGTCCAGTTACGACGGGGACATTTTTTTCTTCTACACACTACTGTGATGAACAGTAGACGGGGAAAGCATAATACTCGCGAAGACCTGCTGCTCGCCGATGGAAACAAAGTCACAAGGATTCTCTTGTACGGAAGATCTTAAATTAACTCAGCTTATGAGTCGTCAGCGACGAATAATGTAAAGGAAAAGGGAAACATTGCATCAGGCTNATCAGGCTACCTACAATCCCCACGGGCGTTTTTAATTCTTTACGTTTTACTTGATGTTATTCGTCTAATGACTAGTACCGACAGGAAATTTGAAGTCAACACAGAACAAACCGCAGCTTGGATTACTTACTGAGGTTTCTGGATATATCTCAGTCTGTTGATATTGAGAAGCAGCTAGCAATGATGGTAAACGGCTGAAGAACAATTGAATTATTGAAGTTAAGCACATTTCAGCTGTGCGCCGTAGAAGCTCAGAGAGTTTCGGCTCAAAGCAGATTCTAAAACAGCTCTGCAGGATCTCACGAACCACGCGATCGGATACTAAGGAGCCGGCCGGCACTAGTAGTAGGGTACGAAGTAAATGCAATACTTTCATTAGGACGACCTGTAAAAAAAGAAAGAGCCTGATTAAGGAAGATGTTCTAAGTTAACCTTGAACAGAAAACAAAACAGTTATCAAGTACGACTGAGTCGCGGAAACAAATAATGAACAGAGTCAAGTGTTTTTGTACCATGATTAGGTTGGCACATTCCAGTTCCAGGAAATATGTATAGAGAGAGACCCATTTAAACAACTATGGCATACATAGCATATCAATAAAAAAATGTGCATACGGTTTTACGCCTTGATTATTATTGGGGTACAGACCGATAAATGCATTCTGTTGCTGGTACAAAAAGCTTCCTTGGTTGGATTACTCTGGTAATAACAGAAACTCATAGTCCCAAACAGAAAGTAAATAACAAAGTTGAGCATTCGCTCTTTGTTGTTCAGTATGTGTCGTGTTTGTTATTCGTTCTGTTTCTGTACGCTGTTAATCACGTCGTTCCTTTTGTTTTTCAGCCCATGTATTGATATTAATAGACGAGTAAAGCGTGTCGTTCCTGCTCACTTGTTCTCTCTCTATCCACGATCGTATTCGCTTGTTGTCCTCTGTAACAGTATGGTTAACTCTGCACTTTTATGCTGAGTATTGGAGGGAAAGAAGTCGCACGTCCCACTAGAGCACTGTTGTGTCCACTAGAGGAATTCTTCCGCAAATTCCGTCCTTCACTGGACATCTTTCAATATGGGATAGTACCAGCACCTAAGAAGTGAGCTACTTCCAGATTAAAGAACTGGAGAACAGTACGAATAGCACTAAATCTCGCTGTCACTGTTATGGAAATTCGTAATTGAAACCCTGGTAGTTAGCGATGAATAAAGGTCACCATTAGATAGAAGTGGTACATAAGTATTTCACACTTGTTTCAGTCCAGGCCTAAAGCCAAACAGACCATGGCACTAGAACTCTAATTGCAAACATACTGATCATTTACCTCTTTCGTGAGCGAAATAGTAAAAGACTGTTCAAATCAAAGCGGATGACCTTAGGGAGTGACAAAAAAACTACGATCTACCTAAGCTTATCCCGGTAGGTGGCTGAGTGCTGTTTGAAGATCACCGTCCATTGGAGTCTGCCATCCCACCACGCAGGCTAGGCCGAAAGCCTATGAAAATATATATATCACCCCACGCGCTAAACTGTAACATCCAAAACTCGGGGCGAGGTTCTAGTTGGGCTTATGTGCCCACGCAATACCATAGCTGACAATGCCGACAGAACAAGCATGAACAAAAATGGTTTTTGCCGCTGTACAATGCTAGCAGTTCTCTCTGCTACCTCTCACATTGATAAACTACTAGTATTAGCAAAAGAACTCCACGAAGGGTACTGAGAACAAATGTCAACCAATTACATCTTTCGTAGCGACCTATTGGCACATTCAAGATAGTACACAATTTTTCACTCGCACAGAACAAAATAATGGAGAGCTGATTGTAGTACAATCCACTATTCTGATAACGTATTATACCCCGTAATCCAAGAATGTACCACAATGTGTAGGATAAAAGTGGATGGGTAGAAATTACAACCTGGCGTTATCTATGAACCTGAGAATATGATAGAGCCAATGAAAAAATTGTCTACCAAGAAAAATGTACCGTTCTTAGACACCATTGTGTGATATAAATCATAACGCCTAAACTCCATATTCGCAAGGATCCATTGTCCGCGAATGATAAACAGTGATCTAAACTCGGGATAGTATTACAGAAACATAACAGATGACGGGCTACCTTGGGGGGAGGGCTCCAAAAGCCTCAGTATGGTCGGGGGTGGGTGTCTAGCGTTGCGGCTGGTCACCCTGCCCTTGCACCTCGCGAAATGCTCCCATACGACCAAGCGTCTCAAATAGCCTCTGTTGAGGAAGCCCTACTCACTGCCTTCTCGCGGCGGAGGTGTTTTCCCACCAAAGTGAGAGGACGAAAAGCCGATATCCGGAGCTATAAACGGGTTGGTGAACCACTGGTAGTTCACCTAGGAGAGTTGGCCAAAAACCCTGATTCCAAACCAACCATGAGGAGGCGTACGAATCACACCCACACCTTTTCGGTTGTGGCAGTGGTCACCGGCTCGATTGGGCACTGAGGTGTGTTGGGCACCTTGGACGTCTGACCCCGTCCGAAGGGTGAATGATCCGATGAACTGGACACCGGCTCCCAATGGATTATGGTTTTCACACACCAACCCACTGCCTTGCGGGTCAGGCTTTGGCTAGCTGAAGGCTCCGGTTGTGCGTTTCTCAAGAAAATTCACCTGTCTTGGCCTGGGAAGTATTCAGCCCACAAGCCAACCATGGAACGTTTTGCTTTTTTATAAAGATTACTGTACCATGATTTGCTTGGCGCACAGTCTGTCCTCAGACAAGTGTGTAATATAATAATATACCTTGGAGGAGCAGACTGTGGCTAGCTTGTGAATTTCTCAAGAACCCCTACCTGCTTTGAGCGAAGCAAATTAGCAGTATCGCGCCCACGAGCTAATCATGGAACTTCGTCTTTTTAAAAGGATGTCAGTACCGAGATTTGTTGGGCAGTTTGGGCAACCAAAAAGTAGCAACCAAAACCGGCGCACGACAGTGCATGGTTAACGGTTGTAAGAACTTAACTAAACAGTCTGGATGTGCTAGTATACCGGACGACCGCGAAAGTACCTACCATTAAAGCTGGGTGGTGGCAGTAGGGTACAAATCTCGAACCACGGCCGGTAACACGTGAGTGATTAAAGCCCCTAGGCTATACTCCAATGTCCTGGTAAGAAACGTTGAGTCAGTTATGGATCATAAACTAGATGGGTGTCGTTAGGGTACAATAGAGAGAACAGAGACCTAATCCATTTCAAGGGTTTCCCACAAGACTGTTCTTTATCATCATACGGAATCTACACTGCACAATGTTGCACAACGGTGAAGATGCATTCGAAAGCCAGTGAAATCAATAGGATATCCCAAATACAAAAATAAAGAATAAAGAGCTACCTGAATTCCAGAAAACTGGTCATTTAAGTCAACTATTATTCATGCAGTCGAGGATGAGATACCATCGATGTTATTCGAACGAAATAAACTTACTTCATCAGAGCTGCGTTCAGTACCCACAAACCTGGCCTGAGTTCCGGAGTCAGCAATCGCTTCAACAGCTATGGCAATTGACTTGATTGACCCTGGGCCCGAAGATGGTAGGTGAACATAATTGGGATCTGGTAATTCCAAGAGCCCATAAGATAAAAATTTATCAACCGCCGTCAGTGCCAACCCGGTAATTGGACCAGTTGTATCCTCTGAACGGATAACCTCAAGAAATGGAGTCAAGTAGACCAAGGGCTCAATTTCACTGAGAGCTAAAAGATCAGGAAATCAGAATGAAAGAATGTGTTGACTTCAACGTATGTGACAGCATTCAAAAAATCTTATACTGAATGGCAGCCTTCAAAGAATCCAAAATATGAGCTTGTGAGAAAAATTAGCGTCATCTGAAGCAGAACAGATAGAACGGAAAAGACACGGGACAAAACATTAAATCCTAAACAGTGGTGTGTAAATACTTACATGACACGCCATTCAAAATAGCCTTCAATTGGAGGAAGCTTTTATACAAAGGACTCCGGATCTCTTCTTGATGTCCGCGAAACGTAATTCGAGTATGACACCTCAGTGCCGTGGACAAAAGAGAAATCTCAGACTGAACAATGCATAAAGCGTTGGAAGGTGCCATGATTGCAAATCAGCAAATTGATCTCAATAATGAAGAAGTACAGAATTTTATTCATCTGCACAATCCTTTAGCCTAAATATGGCAACACAAAACAAATAAAGCTATATCATCACGCCGAACAAGACAAGGCCACGCAACTAACGCCACAGTTGAACGCCGCGCGCCAATATCAGGTCAGGTCAGGTCAGGTTGCACAGGACTGAATATGGCCACGGCCAATCGAGCGTCCAGAATTCCGGTCAGGTCGATTCACAGGACGTAACGGTGGAGTGCCAATTTGTCCAGCTTCTTACACTGATGAGCTCCGTGGATCTGTAGTGACCATGATTGTACGAAGAAAAGGAGCAATCCACGAGGACGTTTTCCGTTCATATTTTCTTCGCAATCAACTCTGACTCGAACTGTGATATTTTCTTTGTTTTACTTCTGTTTGTTTTACCGAGCACGGTTTTCCGCTCAGACGTATATATAAGCTGGGTCCTGTTCAAACCCACGCATCACGTGTGACACGCTATCGCTCTGCTACTGCATTTATTGCTTGCATTGTTTAGCGTCACCTTGGCACGTTTCGGTACTA